GGGGGAAAAGCCGGGAGTATTGGCAGAGAGCGGTTCCACCCCGGAACCTGGTCCCCCCATGGTCAGGAGCCAAGAATTCTGTGCTCCCACGGTCCCACTGAGGGGGTCTAAGCCCAGGGTGGCTGCCCCTTGAAGGGAATGAGGGGGCCAAGCTGGCCCTGGCTCAGCCACACACCGTCCTCCTTGGCTCTTTTCAGCAGAGTGCCCTGGTGACATAGGTGTGGCCAGCCCACCGTTCAGGCTGGCAAGGCTGTGTCAGACCTTGTACCGCTGACCTCAAGTGCGTCTGTCCCCTGGCAGGACAGTGAGGTCTCTGGGTCCGGGGCCCCAGCCCTGTTCCCTCTGTGCTGCTAGGAGAGTGTTCTGTGAAGGACTGCTGAGTTGATGGACTGAAGATGGGGCACTTTCGGGTGCCCTCCTTGCCTGTGGGTTCAGGGACAGCCAAAAGAAACAACCAGATTTCTCACCTCTTAGCCGTATGTCATCAGAGGGCCCTGGGTGGCACCAGGAGGGCCTGGCGCTCAGGCAGAAGCCCTGCCCTGCTCGCTTGCTCCCTTGGCACAGCAGGAAAAAGGCTGGAAATGGGAACAAGTCCCTCACCCCTCTTCTGGAGCTGGCTGAAGATTCAGGGCATGCAAAGGGGTGACCTGGGTCTCAGTTAGGGCCTGCCCAAAGGCACAGCAGGTGAGGGGGTGCACCTTGCCCAGGGTGCCAGGAGCTGGGGGGCGGGGTGAAGATTAAGGGCACAGCCCGGAGGGCAATAAACTCTCCCGACCCAGTTTCCCCAGGCCGGCAGGAAAGTGGAGGGACGCCAGACTTTGGCCAGAGGGCTGTGGTCCAGGCCCGAGAAAGTGCAGAGCAGGCAGCTTCCCAGCACAGGCCCGGCTCCCAGCGACCCACGGTCTGACAGGCCTCCTCCCACTTGCACCTCCTGGGCCTCCCTAGGCAGGGTGATGAGAGGTCGGGCCCCACCTCTTCCCGCAGTGGTCACCCCCACTGTCAGCTTCCAGAGGCACATTTTATTCTGGGGGAAACTCCAGACCCCCAGCCTGAGGCCCGTGTGGGCATTCAAGCCAGACGCAGCCACCCTCGCTGCGCTGCGCGGGGGATGGGACCCGGCGAGCCTGGGGGAAGTCGGCGAGCGACCCCTGCCCCGGGAATGGTCCACCTCCCAGGCAGGGCCGGCGTCTGACTCGGGTTTTCCAGCTCTGAGAGTCACGCGGCTGGGGCTACAGCTGGGCTGGGGGCCTGGCGAGCAGCGCTGCCCCCATCCCCACTCCAATCCCGCGTAAACCCAACCGGCACCGCCCGGCGACCTCTTCGTTCTCGGTTTCCCCTCCAGTCCCGGCGCGGGCACCCTCAGAGCCCAGAAAGGCGCCAGGAGCGCCAGCCGGCCGGGCCTCGGCCCCGGAGGCCTCGGGAGCCCTGGCGCTTGCCTAATCCCTGGGGCTCGGGGCTCAGCCCCGGAGGAGGAGGCGCGGGCTGGGGTGGGGGACCCTTCCCGGCCGGGGAAGCGGGTGTAACAGGTGGGCGAAGGTCGGCGGCCCGGTCGAGCGCAGCGGCGGGACCAACGGACGCGGGAGGAGGAATCACCAAGGTTTCTCCAAAGGACAAGCGGCCCCGCGGTCCCCTGGTCCTCGGCCCCCACGCCAGCCAAGCCGCCGCGCTCTGCGGCCGCCGGCCCCACCAGGGAGGCCGTCCGGCCCGGGCCCCGGGCGCCCTCTGCCTCTCGCCCAGCCCGACCCTCGGCCGAGAGGCCGGTCCGCCGCGGGCTCCGGAGAGGGGAGCGACCACGCGGCCAGCAGCAACTGGTGTCTCCCCGGGGCGCAGTTCCGCCCTGCCTGGGAACAAAAGCCGCCGCCCGCGCCGGGGCTCCCGGCGGGCGGGCCGAGAGGGGGCGCGGCGCGGGCTCCCGGGAGCTGGGCCCCGGAAATGGGACACCCCCGGGGGGCCCCCAAACTTCCCACCTCTCCGATCTGCTCGGGGGCGGTGTCGGGGCTGTGTGTGCCGGGCGCGCGGAGAGCGCACAGCGCGGCCGGGGGCAGCGACACAGCGGGGGGTGTGCCGGGGGAACCGAGACCGCAGGGGATCCGAGGGCGGGCGAGGTCGGGAGCGAGAGCAGCCGCGCAGGGGCGGGGGCGAGAAGCCGGCGGGTGGGAAACTTACTGCAGTCGTCGGACTCGTAGCCGTCGGCGTCCGGCTCGTCCTCGGGCAGCTTGGCAGGCGGTCGCGCCGTGCTGCGGCCGGGGCCGGGGCCGGGGCTGGCGCCGTAGGCTCCAAACAGCTGGTCGACATCCTCGTCGTCGTCGCGGGCGCCGTCGGAGGGGCTGCGGCGGCCCGCGCTGGCCGCGGCCGGGCGCGCGGGGGCGTCCGGGGGTGCAGCGGCGCGGGGCCCGGCGTCCGGCGGCAGGCCCCGCGGGAAGCGGGGGAAGTAGTCGGAGATCTGCTTGATGGGCCGGATGGGGCCGGGGCACACGTCGATGGCCATATGCTCCTGGATGCTGATGGTCGCCTTCTCCCCGCGCCGCCGGAGGGTCATGCAGGCAGCGCGGCCCCGCCCGGGCGCGGCCCGGCCAGACTCCGCGCGGCCCCGGCCCGGGGGCGGCTCAGCAGGCCCGGCTGGGAGCGGCGGGGGCTGCGGGCATCGCGGGCAGCGCCCCCGGACGGGCAGCCGCCGAGCAGTGCGAGAGTGCGGGCGGCGAGGGCGGCGCGGCGCGGAGCGAGCTGAGCGGCGCCGCACTCACTCGCACTCACACCGGCGCGCACGCCGGCCCGGGACCCCGCGCGCGCACACCCGGCGGGCAGGGCCACCGGGCGCCTTCCACTCACGCACCGCAGGACGGGCGGGGAGCTGAGCAGGGACCCGCACCTTCCCGCGCGTGCCCGCACTTTCTGGGCTCCGTTCACACAGGACACACACCGGTGTGCAAGGACACTCCCAGCGCACAGAAACGTGTGCAGAACTGGGCGGAAGCTCCCACTGCTCCCACCTGCAGGACACACGTACCCGTACAGAGTTGCCTGAGGCTGCGGTGGCACCGTATATCCCCCAGTACACACACATCCCTAACAGGACACACAAACAGCACTCGTCGAGGTGGTCAGGGGACCCAGGGCACCCCTGCCCTCAGCACACCTAACAGGACATACGAACACACCCAAAAAGTGATCAGGGGACTCAAGGCACCTCCCAACCCCCAATCTAGCAGGACACACAGCCATACTCCTAGGAGTGCCGGACAGGATGCTCACACACGAGCAAGACATCCACAGCTGTACAAGGTCACTACTGGCACAATCTGTTCACCCTTCCTCTCAGGTCACATACAAACACACTCTCTGTAACCAGGAGTCAGTCTCTCACTTGGTCCTTGAGTAGGTTGAGTGACCCAGCCCCCGCCTGCCCCCCATGGGGACAGGATGGGTGAGGACCTTGACCATAAGCCGTGGTCAGGAGAGGATGAAGGCAGGCAGGGCTGGGCATCCCCAGGGAATGATGAGCGAGGCAGAGGTGGAACGGCAGGGTGTGGCCAGCCCACAGGCTCAGGTTTCCCACAGGATCGGATGACCAAACAAATGCCCAGCCCTGGCTGCTGTCCTGCTTTCCCGGGAACAACGCTCTGTTGGAAACGGCTGCTGCTTATACAGGTGTGTCCCCAGAAAGCCCTGGGCACAGACGGAATCCTGTTCACTCTCTGGTTTCCACTGAACATCAGAAATGCTAATCTTCTTGGCTGGGTCCCTTCCAGGAAAACAACGCAGGACCCCAAGCCTGTGCCCCTCCACCCACCATAACCCCTGTGGAGGTGTGGAGAGCAGAGAGAAGAGAGAGGATGCCTCACCTTCATCACTTCCAGTTGCATCATTCTGGCAGATCATTGGCTCTCCCTGAACCTCAGTTTCCTCAGCTGTGAAATGGGGCTACTTCCAACCTCACAGCATCGTGGGGAGGCCGCATCTAGCACAGAGCATGGCAAGTAAGAGGTGCTCACCAGCGTCGGCTTTCTCTTCCCCCTTCCCTTCGGGAGATGAGACTCATTGGTGAGACATGTGGTGGAGATCCGCATGTTGTTTCATGACAAGTCCTGAAATGGATGGTGAAGGTCACCACCCACTCTTGAAACCTACGGTATACTCTGTCAAGAGCCTTCAACAGCTGTTATCTCACTGATTCCTTTTATCACCCCACGATGTAGGCAGGGTACAGTGTTCCCATTTTGCAGGTGAGGAAATTAAAGCTCAGACACAGTGACTTGCCCAGGTGACTGCTGGCTGGTGGCAGAGCTGGGGTTCTGACTTTTTGGAGGCTTCCACTACCCCCATCCCCGCCTCTCCCTTCTCATCCCTAGAGAGCAGAGCTGGAAACACAGGTAAAAGCTTGCTCCCCAGAGCTCTTCCTAAGGTTTCTTGGCTGGGGACAGAGCGAGGGGGCCAAGGGTCTTAGGGGTTACAGTAGGAATGGACCAGCCTGGGGGCTCCCTAAGGACCATCTGGGATCCTGGTAGGAGAGAAATTCAGCCTAAGAGTCAAAGGCCAAGGGAGGGACAGGAGAGCCTGGAAGCCTAACACAGTGAGTGGGTTTCCCATTTCCAGGAATGCTTAGGGGGATTAGTCCTTAAATAGGCACAGAGTGACATCTTCTGTGCTAGAGGTGGCTGCATCACAAAGCGATTATGTAATGACACAGGGTACTAAAATACAGGCACTGAACCATCATTTCATAATTCATTCACTTGAGGAGCACGAGAGTGTTGTCACCCTCTTACAGATGGGGAAACTGAAGCTTCGGGAGGTATAGTGACTGGGAATGAGAGCCTGGATATCCTGACCCTGTGCCTTTTTGATGGCAAGGCTCTACCCGTGAGTTCACTGGGAGTGGGGACAGAGGGGGCTGATCACTTCCTCCTGGCTTCTTGACTTTCTGTGGGTCTGGCTTTCTGGAAGATCAGCCCCCAGCTCTTGGCTCTGCAGGTGCTGGCTCTAGGGAGGGTCTGGAAGAAGTGGGAGTGGTGGGCCCAGCCTCCAAAGCATCCAGTCACTGAATGCCAGGATGACCACTGGAGAAACACGTGGCGTATCTGAGGCCAACACCCAACAGGGAGTCTGAAACACCCCACATCAGGCATTGTGACTTCTTTCCTGGCTGAGAGCAACCAGTTAAAAGCCTTTCCTTCCAGTAGGCGAGAGGCATTTAGAGGAAATGACCTCTACCCTGCACTTGGCCGGACGTCCTTGGTTGGCATCTCTGGCTGGTGTCCGTGTGCCCTGGGAGGAAGGACCCTCCCTGGCCCTGGTCTAACATGTACCCCCAGTCTCCACCCTTCCCTGATTACTGGAGGAGCTCTGGGCTTGCTGTGCTGATAGTAGTTTCTCTGTATTGATAGGAAATTTTAACCCAAATGAGGGGCTGATGGAAAAATTCCGAGCACTTGCTGTTTGATGGAGAGGGGCCTTCTGGGGGCCCTTTTCCATTCATTTCTCTAAGAATCCACACTGTAACAAATATTTATTGAGCACCTACCCTGTGACAGGCTCCAGGCTGCGTCCTGCAGGGGGGCCTGATGGTGAACAAAGTCCCATTTTTCTTTCGATTCCAGATGACAGGGAGCAAATCAGGAAGGGACAGGGGAGCCATCCACTCTGGCCACCCCCTGCCTCTTCCTCAGCCCATGCTGGGGCCTCAGCCTGGAAGCGTGTAAGTTGATGCACAATGAGTCGATGGAAGCGGTTGCCATATAGCCTGTGGCTGCTGAGAGGCAAACTGGATATATCAAGCAATATTAAAAATGTAGCTCTTTCTGATAATTTATTATACACATTTCATAAACACATTATACTCGTCACAGTACATTTACTAGCACTGGGCCTACCAGGGGGGAAAAGTTAACACTTACCTAATGATGTTATTTCACAGATGTCAAATGTTCTTGGAGCTGTCGTGATGGGCTAAATGGCTCAAAGAGATGCTTGTCTCCTTTTCCTCCTGGGACACCTGTTCAGTGGTTTGCAGACCACAGGTCTGTCAGCACCCACAACTCCCACTTTCTGAGGCCTGGAGATGGAGGACCTGGCCCAAGGTCACGGGAGGCTGACCCAGGACTTACACCCAGGGGCTGAGTGGAGGGGCTACAGCTCTCTCTCCCTCTCCACACAGGCCATGGTCTGGGCTGCCGGATTGGAAAGAGGCCGAGGTGAGAAGCTCACCTGGCAGGAGGGGCTTAGCCCAGGATCAGGCTGCCTCTGGCTGGAGATCAGATGCCAGGGAGGGATAATGCTGAATGCTTAGGGGAAGCTCCAGAAGTAACCTTCTGAAGGACAGGGTGTGCAGCCTGAGGCTTAGATGACAGCAAGGATGAGGCAGCACCCTCTGCCCCCACCCTAAGAGGCCTGGGGACTGCTGGAGCCCAGGGGCTGGTTCGAGCGTCTTCTAGAGTGGCGTGAACGTTTCAGCATTATGAGTGGGCTAGAACGGGCAGGAGCTCTAACTGGCCGTTTTGAAACTGAGAGCCAATAGCCACATATGTTCCCTCAAAGAGCTTTGAATTATGATGCAGTTCAGAAGATATTAACAACGCAAATGGTGGCCTCCAATTTTAACTCATTCTACTTTATTTATTTTATTTTTGGCTGCGTTGGGTCTTCGTTGCTGTGCGCGGGCTTTTCTCTAGTTGCGGCGAGCGGGGGCTACTCTTCGTTGCGGTGCGCGGGCTTCTCATCGCGGTGGCTTCTCTTGTCGCGGAGCACGGGCTCTAGGCGCGTGGGCTTCAGTAGTTGTGGCTCGCGGGCTCTAGAGAGCAGGCTCAGTAGTTGTGCGCACAGGCTTAGTTGCTCCGCGGCACGTGGGATCTTCCCGGCCCAGGGCTCGAACCCTTGTCCCCTGCATTGGCAGGCGATTCTTAACCACTGCGCCACCAGGGAAGCCCCACTCATTCTACTTTTGAACTTTATAAAATATTTCAGTCATAGAGAAAAGGTCTAGAGTATAACATAAAGACCCACAAGCCAGCCTAGAAACAAAACATTTCAGGTTTCTCAAAAAGCTAAACATAGAATTACCATATGACCCAGCAATTCCACTCCTAGGTACACACCCAAAAGAACTGAAAGCAGGGACTCAAACAGATACTTGTACACTAATGTTCATTGCAGCATCATTCACAACAGCCAAAAGGGAAACAACTCACATGTCTACCAAGAGATGAATGGAGAAACAAAATGTGGCATATCCATACTATGGGATATTATTCAGCCCTGAAAAGTAATGAGTTCTGCTCTATGCTACAACCTGGATGAAAGTTGAAAACATGTTACGTGAAAGAAGATAGACACAGAAGCGCAACAATTATATGACTTTCCTTACAGGAAATGTCTAGAATAGGCAAATTTATAAAGACAGAAAGTAGATTAGAGGTTACCAGGGTCTGGGGTGAGGGGAATGGGGAGCTTAATGGGCACAGAGTTTCTACTTGGGGCGACGAAGGAAGTTTTAGAAATAGAGAGCAGTGATAGTTGCACAATATTGTGAATGTAATTAATGCCACTGAATGCTACACCTAAAAATGATTAAAATGGCAAATTTTGTGTTTTATATATATTTTACCACAATTTAAAAAATTACAGATGCATTTGAAATCCCCTGATATTCCTCCTCCAGCCCACTG